AGATTATGTTTGTGTGTAAACAGTGACTGCGTCCTACACCAGTGTGACCAGGTATAAATTAAATTGTACTATAAGCTACTCTTATGAATTTTGATATATTTTTCTTTTGTAATATTCATAAAATGTTTTGCTCATAACTTATGTCGTAATTATAAAAACACTCAATAATGGAGTCCTCATAATATAAAACAGGCAAACTCAATTATTACAATCATTTAGAAAAAAATATAACTACAAAATGCACTGACATTCACTGAAGTTGGTCACACTGCCATGTTATATGCAAGAAAGTGACGTCATTGGTGTTTGAGATCGAGTAATGGAGGGTAAAAAATATTGCAGCGTTTTTAATTTATATTTAATTTGAGACAAACATTCAAGGTCTCTAAATGTTATTATAGGTTATAAAATGCTGTCTTTAAAATATTAAACATAACTTTATTTGGATTTGTAACATTAGGAAACATCCCCATTGCAAATGTCAAAATGACATGACATAATGACAATCCACGGTAATCTTGTTTCCTTGATGTTGGCAGCAAGTTATGGTCTTTTTCCCACGTTAGGATTTTTATCCAATTTATTTACCAACTAAGTTTAATAGCGTGAAAATATAAAGCCTAAAGCGTGAAATAAGTATAGGGCTTTTTTTTATTAAAAAAAGAATTATTCAAAAATATGGTGTAATTGCTGACATCTTAGGCAACAAAGAAGTGTGTGTTTACGCTTTATTATAATAGTATAAAAAACATCTGCTAATGTAAATACCCTTTCTAGGTTAAATGAAATAACTGAACTTGAATTGCAATTAATTACTACGTTTTCTAATTTATTCAAACATACGTTTTATGATTCACAGATAAGGTTATGTTCGCTTGCCTTAAAAACTGCACGTGATGGATTAATCACGATTACAGCAAACGCGATAATGAAACGTTACATTTATTTTTTTTAAACGCTTGTCATCAATGTGCGATAATTTTAATGGCTTTAAGCAGCCAGCACAAATTTAGAATATAACTAGCTATGGCCCATAACTCCGTTGGCGTGAAATTAAAAAAAATAGTAAATAGCCTATTTGTTCTTCCAGACTATCCTGTACATCTATGCCATTATCAATTTCGCTTTATGTTTAGGTTACAAACTCTAACTTTCCATCTATCTAAGCATTCGCATTTATAATATTAGTAAGATTGTTACACCGCTGCTTATAACCTAGAAACACTTTCTAATCTTGGTTCAGCGATATATCTTTTATTAAATTATCAGAATTTTACCTTTTATAACGCTATTCGTGATGATTTAGCACAATTTTTAATAATAGTAATTAATAAGCGACCGCGACATTAACTTATGAAATTATTTTTTTTTAAGGTTATAAAACTTTTCTATACCTATTCCCTTTCTTTCTCTTTAAAAAAGGGATGGCAAAGAATATAAAGACCATTTAATATCAATAAGAAGTAGGACTACATACTTAATGAATAAAATATATTAATAAATTGCCACTATTAAATAATCTTTAGATAATAGTAGATTGTTGGACTTTGCATTGATCGGGAAAGCAATTTCAGAAAGTAAACAAGATAACATTTTTGTTTTATCAATATTAACCCAACTTTATCTTGTCTAGATATGATACCATTGTCCTGTTGTGTCGGTGTGTGTCATATTCTATGAAGTTTATTGTTACACTTTCCTTATTCTCAAGAATATTGATCAAAGAGTAACTAAGCTATGTTTAAAATTGCTATGCTAATAAGTCAGCTATAAAAAACATTTTTTCATAAAAATACAGACGAATTGATAACCTCCTTGTTTTGGGAAGTCGGTTAAAACATGTGTATCTGTAGGTATAATTGGCAAATAATACTTACTATAGACCAAGCATATTTTGGTAGTTTATATATAAACTAGATGGTGCTCACGACTTTGTCCGCGTGTATTAAAACATAATAAAGAATATAGCCTATATAACTTAATCTTAACGTAGCTTTTAACGGTAAAAGAATTTTTGAAAACAGCTCAGTATTTTTTGAGTTCAATACATACAAAAATACAAATCTTTCCTCTTTATAATATTAGTATAGGCTAGTGTAGATGAATAAAATACTAGCTTTCGCCCGCGACTCCGTCCGCGTGGAATTAAAAAAACCAAAAGTGAGTAACCTATGTGTTCTTCCCGACTATCCTCTACATCTATATGCGAAATTTCATCAAGATCCGTCCAGCCGTTTAGGGTACAAACTCTAACAAACATCCATCCATCCAAACTTTCGCATTTGTAACATTACGAGTAGTAAGAAGTAACATATAGTCTTATATAGAGGTAGCCAATGTTGATTAATCGGATTATACAAGCACTTAACTTTGATCTAGGTAGGTCTTCAGACGTCTGAAGTGGGATTAAAGGACTATATTTTATACGTAGTATAGCAGTTGGTATTGGGGAAGGGCTATGTCCAACAGTGGGCAGATAAAGGCTGTTGATGTTGTTGTTGTTGATGATGGTGATGATGATGATGATATCACTTTGTACAGTTTTGGCGGCAATATACGTTAATTGTACGTTTGATTAACAAATGAAACGTAATTTATATTTTTATTTACACACGTTTATCGTCGCTTGCGTCAATTTCCTTTGTTCTTCATGTATTGTTTATTTAAATGTACAAATACATTGGTTTTGAAATATTTGAGACATTGATTTCGATAATTCGTTACATCACTTTCTTTCAAAATTAAGATAAACTACTGAACTAGTTTAAAGAGGAATACGTGAGATTTTGATTTTAGTGTGTTGGTAACATATAACATGTTTTTCTAAAAAGAACTCCTCATTAAGGGTTAGGAACTGGTGGCAAGAGTGCGGCGGGAACCGCGGGAACCATAGACGCTTATCGACGTCCATAATACCAGAGAGACCAGAGATTTTTATTTGATAACCTGTTAAAATATACATAGTAGTACATAATATAAATGGATGTTTCATACCTGTATAATTGATATGACCCTATTCTCAATACAACGTAGAGGTAACTGCAATCCATTAATGTATCCTCGACATTAATTTAATGCACTAGTTATATTACTCTGCAGTACTCACATTTATAAAATAATGACTGTATTTATACTAGCGAAAGCTGCGTAGCGCATGTAATATTTTTTGTATCCCGTTCTGAATTAACATCAAAGTTTTGAAACAAACTCTATACATAATTGCGTGCCGGGAACGAACCCCCTTAACACAGCATGCCAGTAAGACTGTTTTTTCAAAGACCAGCAACGCATCTGTAGTTGTTATGGATTTACAGATGTCTTATTTAAAAAGTGTCTTCTAATTTAATTTTCAAATTTCTTCGAAACGGAATGTAAAATTCAATTTATGTATAAATAAATATTCTAAACAGGTTATACAACTGGAATTGAATGATTTACGTATTCAATACGTTACTCAATCATGGATACAGAATGCATAATACAGTCGCGTACAGATTAAGGGATTTTATACATTTAAAAGGTATCTTTATATGTATTTGTAAATAATACATACATCTGTCATACATAAACACTATCGTTGCTTATATTGAAGCAGAGAAGATAATCTGTGAGATATTTACTCTGTGATAGAACTTTTAAAATACTCTTTGGTATGATATCCACATCTATAAATATGGTAACTTGTCTGTATCTTAATAAAATACAATTAGATATATTTATTTTAATTTGCTACACTAAAGAAGAAAAACATCGTAATGCAACCTGCACTGTTGTTGATTTCAAGTGTGAAGTCAACCAACCAGCACTTGGTCAGCGTTTACGACTATGGACTAGTCACCCTAACTTAGGGTAGGCTCCAAACTTCTCTATGGGGACGTATTGTGAGCGGTTGATGATAATACGAATTACATATATAATGTAAAAAGCTTATATGTCTTAGTTTAATTCAATAGAAATAAGAAATTATCTTTACACATGTCACTGGCTGAAAATGTTATTTATTTTGTTTTAATTTTTTTTTTATTTCATTATCAAGCGATGTCAATTCACTTTCTATTTTCCAAGCCTATTAGTACTTGTAGGAAACAAGTCGATATTACTCGTATAACCGGTAAACATTTAATTAGAAATTACTTATAGAAACTAGAATAAACCGGTTATCTTGTCTTCAAGGATCTAAGGGTAAAAATATCACATTACTAATATTTACTGTATTTCCAAATACATAAATAAATCTGGTCTTTATTTACCTTTGTTATCTTCCTTTGTACTTTTAAAAGGTTTTGTTAGTTCGTAATCTACGGAGAGAAATCTCCATTTTTTAAATGTAGATGTTTACTATCACCGTGTACTTGTTTTAAAATCTTGTTTCAATAACTTGTTTCCTTTGAGACTTTCTGTTACAAATTATCTTGATCTACTTATGATAACGATATAAATATCTTTAGATTTAATATGAAAACATTGTCAAATTTAAAAATAGTACACAGTGATTCTGTTAACCTTTAGTAAGAAATTTTCTATTCAGGTATGCAGTTGCTAGGAGCAACAACCCTGCTGTTGCAGTCGCGAGGGCGGACATGTAGGTATTTTCCTCAGATCAAACTAACACATTTTATCCCAGCATTCTGTCTTAGTTCCTCAATTCAAATGTTAAAAAACTACTTTACTTTACTTGTTAAATATGTTTAAATAATTTTGCATTTTAATTATGTTTAACTTTAGTTAAGTTAAATTATGTATATTTATTCGTATTTTTAATTAAAAAACATATCATTTTATTGTTAATTCTAACAGGTTTTTTAATCTTTTTGAACGTATTATTTCAACTCTATCTTGTTTTTAACATTTACTGTAATACATTATAATAATAGCATTATTATAATTAATTTATTTAAGTTACAGTTTATGAAATTGTCATAAGATTGAAAACAATAAACATTCCTTGTTTATATTTTGTGTACTAATGTACAAAAATGTAAGATAAAGAAAGCACTTACTCTGTTTCTCGTGTCTCCAACGAGTTGTTTGAGGAGCGTGGGACAAGTGGACGGTAACAGGATCGTGTCATTTTTCACTAGAGTTCACTTTAAAAAACTTACATACTCGTAAATCATCACAGTTTAGTTAATTGAGCACAATACAGCTGACAGCCGGCGTTACTCGACGCAGAACAACAACTGACTCGCTACTCGATTGCCGATTGTTTTGTTCTCTGTTTACATAAAACCTTGAAGCTTATCTATATCGATGCACTTATCAGTTCTTTATATATTTTTATAAAAATAAATACAGAAACTATTTACGCTAACAGTTAACAGTGAATGGGAGCGATCAATAAAATTAAAAGCCGGGGTGAAAGCTCGCTGGAGATGTTAAACCACGCCTCCGGTCCTCTTTCCTATTTAATATTTCAACTCCATCTACCGTCGAGTGGGTGAACTAAAGAGTGAGTAGCACTTGCCCTTAATTGCTTAACTGGTATTGATTTTTTTAACGTTATAAATACGCGAAGCATATTATTTTACTCTAAACTCACATACCTGTACATAGTTAAGTAGAAAATAATGTTATTTGAATTAAATGTTGTAATATATTTGTATAAACTTACTATTTGTGGTGTTCTGACTACCATTGCTAAGTTGTAAATTTATTTAAACAACCATCAATTAATTAATTCTTCATTTTTTTTTGTACTAGAATTAACGTAAAACTAAACAAAGTAAGTTTAGACATCATGAATGATGTTTACTATTTTCTAAATTACAGGATATCTAGATGATTGCAAAAGAGTTCTTATACACAAAAAAAATGAAAGCAAACAAAATTAAAAATAAATATATCTAATTTATTAATCTTATTATCCGGAGTAAAATATAGAACCAAATTTGCAGCATTTTAGCTTTAAGCTCATAAACTTATTAAAGCTTTAACAATCTCAGCAAAGAAGCTTTACGTCGGCATTTCTCAGCTCAAGAGCCTTGTATATTTTATTTTGGTGCCAGCTAAGAATAAGTTAAACGAATAAGCATGGATTTTGCTTAAACAGCAAGTGACTGAATCTTTTGCACAGTTTTATGACTTAAAAAGCTTTACATTTACGTAGTATTAAGTTTTTATGCTATACAAGTTTTCGACCATGATTTCAATCACGTGGTGCAAAAAACTGTCACAATAATGTTCTTGATAGACCTTTTAATCTCTTATGTTTGGTGATTTCATAATAAGTCGTTAATGGTTAGTCATTTTATCGTATGCTTTATTGCTTGCAGATATGATGAAATTGGTTTTTACGATGTTCTTGTTTAAACACAATGAAATATTTTACAGCAACGTTTAATCAGAAAACAAGATGGAGATAAGTGATCTAAACAGTAATTGTTCAAATAAATAAGATAAGAAATCGACGATGTTTTGTCCCAGAAATAATTTAACATCGACTTTTATTTATTTATAATAGTTTACAACTGATTGTAGTTCATGTTTTACTCAACATTTTTTAATAATCAAAACAGTACATATATTTTTTATTGTAGTTTAGTTTGTTAGATAAGTGTGTGCATTTGAACAGATTAAATTTTTTATATAGACTTCTTGTCTTCGTCGGGCAGTTCTTGTATTTTGGGTACACTTTCTTTTGCTTTCTCTTCTTCGTCTTCCTTCAGAAGTTTCTCCAATTCTTTGTCAGCGTTTAATAAATCCTCTTCAGTTATGTTCAGGTCAGGGAACCGTTTCTAAAATTATAATTGTTTTATACAGAGAAGTTAAATAATAACTTAAGCAATCTTTTAATATAAGTTCCATAATAAATTTACTACAAGTGTTTCTTCTCGTTGACGCATTTAGCATCTAAGGGTGTCTCTTATTGCACTATAAGAAATACTAAGGGATAAGAAAAACTAACTTTGTAACTTGGTTACAAATAGTAATTGTTTATTTTCCTTCCGTTTAAAATTTTCAGATAAAATTAAATGTTGTATTCTTTATTCATATACTAGCTACCACCAGCGACTCCGTCCGCGTGTAATTAAAAAAAGAAAGTAAATAGCCTGTGTTCTTCCAGACTGTCCTCTACAACATTGCCATATTTCATAAAAATCAGTTCAGCCGTTTAGGCTACAAACTCTAACAAACATCCATCCATCCGTATAAACTTTCGCATTTATAATATTAGTATAACTAGCTTTCGCCCGCAACTACGTCCGCGTGGAATTAAAATCAACAAAACTAAGTATGTGTTCGTCCAGACAGACTATCCTCTACATCCATACCAAACTTCATAGAAATCGGTTTAGCCGTTTAGGGTACAAACTCTAACAAACATCCATCCATCCATCTAAACTTTCGCATTTATAATATTAGTATGATAGTATAATTACGTTTCTTAACGATATTTTTCAGATGAATTATTCATTTGTTTTTCTCGTGGTTTATTAACAAGATAGTTAAATGGAATCCGGTCTACGTATTTGACGCTATTATTACCTAATCTTTAGTATACTTACCTGGAGTTCCTGCAGCGTGTTCTGTATGTTTTCCTGCTGCGACCTCAATCTGCGCGGTAATGTGAACACTGTGTTGAAAAGTCTAAGCATCAGCCAACACAGTGCTGTTAGCGCGCCGTACATTAGCATCGCCTTGCCTATAGACCAGTAGTCTACATTTACTTGCTGGTGCTTCATTTTTACTGACTTTTTTGTAATTTTTCGTTGACGTCTTTATGATATGCCGGTAAGCGGAACAATGGCGACCTATCCCATCGATTGGTATGACGTGTTTGAGAATTATTTATGTGAGCGACAAACCTTGTAGAGTTGATACTTGTAATTACTCTTTTACAATGTACTAGCTTTCGCCCGAATCCGTCCGCGTTAAAAAAGTAAGTAGCCTATGTATTCTTCCAGACTATCCTCTACATATATGCCGAATTTCATCGATATCCGATCAGCCGTTTACGCTACAAACTCTAACAAACATCCATCCATCTAAACTTTCGTATTTATAATATTAGTAAGATTACTATGTCTTTGTTTTAGTGAAGCAAACAATCCTGAACAGTTGTGCTAATATTATACGGTAAAAAATTAAATAAAGAATCTTGATATTCTGTACAAAAACGTAATTTCTTCAGTGTAATGTACGCAGCGTAAGTTATATGCGTAACGTAGAAAAACATTACAAGTGTCAAAGATTGTTTTGTACATACATACAGACTGTCAGATATATACAATTCCGTCAGCTGTACATATTTTCGATCAATAGTGGTAGCAATTATGAGACATTGCGACTGGTCGAGTTAGACGCATGTGTTTAGTTCACAGACTACAAAGTCAAGGTGGAAACTATATTATTGGGGCTGAATGGTAGAATTTACAGTCAATTGTTTTTACAACTTTTAATATAAGCGGGTACAAAACTTTACCAAAATTCTGTTGGAATTCAAAATAATGTGTTTTTTAAATTTAGAGTCAAACTGTACGAGTATTCCTTTTCGTGAGATTTTACTTAAGTCGGTCAAGGTAAATGTTTTCTGTTAAAAGCCCTATAATTATGTTGCCCTTTTTAATTACTGCATTTAGGTAATGTATGCGCCCAAGTTATACACGAAAGGAGCAATTCGTTCATTATCAAACTACATAGTCAAATTAAGACCTATTTTCACGTGTACTACGATCGCGTCTTTCGTCAAGTGGAAAATACGTTTTAATTTTTGCGTCAATAAAAACAAGATTATTAAAATTTGATGATTTATTCAAAATAATTCCTTTAATAAAACAAAACATAAATGATAACTAAACATAAAAAACTCTAAGAAAAAAATCAACAATTTATATTACAAAAGGTATATACCGCGTTGGTTTACAAAATCACAGCTTAGTAAATACAATGCTTTGACAATATGGTTCATTTAAAAAACATTAGAAAGGTACAGTAGTATTCAAATATATTGTCGGCTCGGAACAACGTAAAAATCGCAGAAAGCAAGTAAGATTGGGTCGTGGTTTTGGTGTGCTCCTTGGCGATCCCGGCACCAAAGAAATGGGTTTAGTAGGAAAAATCACATAACTATGTCTAACCATCAGAGGGTAGGGTATCTTTGGAAGATTTCTCGTACACGCAAAAATAGGTGTATCGCGGCGTAAAGAGGTGTCTGTCCACGAGCCGTCAAGATATTTGAAAAGTAGCATACCTGCGCTAATAAAAGTTTCTATTGTCTTAAGAATTATATAAAAATATCTCTTTTTCTTCGATTAGAATAAAAGATGTTTTTATAGTTGTAACGTCAGTGGAAACGCAATTATTTTGACCAAAGCAACTTCTAAATCTTTTCTCAATATTTACCAAATGATACAATATCGTTAAAATTACGTTGACTTATCAGACAATTGAAAATAATTAATCTTGTCCATTTTATAGATTTATATAATTTGATAAAGAAAAGAAAAAAAGAGTTTTAGTACCTATTTCCATTAACCGGCTAGTCGTGGACGCGCCAGTGGAAATGGAATTTAATTGGGTACATTTAAAGCCAGCGATTTCGTACTGCTACTCAAAGAAAATAGTATAATTTTTTTTTAATGTTTGTTTAATTTTAAAGCAAAGTAAGAAACTTGAACCCCATTATTTAATAAACCGTCTTAAAAACATTATTTTTCTGAAAATAAATATTTAGTATAAATAATAAATTAAAATAGAAATTAAATAAATACATTGCCAGTTTAACTACAAGGTATCAGCTGAAAACATTATTGCTACATTTATTGCCTTTTTCCGATATCAAATAATTATAAACAAATCTTAACAAAGTTGAATATTTTATCAAAACACTGTTAAAATTATAAATATTACAATCCAATATATTAATAAGACAATTTAGTTTAATATTTATCATGAATTACAAAAATTATGTATTTTAAATCTTTTTAAGAAAATCTTTTAAAGAGTTAATAAAAATAATAGACTAACCAGAATTATTAAAATACATAGAAAAAATGTTTGGAAAAATATCAAGGTTTCTTATTGATTTGATGAAAATATTTTATTTTTACTTGTCTTTTATCATATTAAATGCTGACAAAACTTGTTTTAAGGAGATCATCATCATCACCAGCTCACTATACGTCCCCACCGAGGGGCTCGGAACCTACCCTAATATGGGGTGACTCCGATGATCATATGATTATGATATGTCGATATACACCAAAAACATAATAAAAACATAGTGCTAAAATATAAAAGACAAATTTTATAACTAGCTAAATAGTACCTAAAACGTACAGAGGCAAAGAATTAAAAAAATGATTGTAAAAAGGTTTTGGTCCGCATCTCAAGATTGTCTATTATCAAGAAATTAGTAAATTAGAGAGATTAAAAAAATAGATTTGAGAATTTTTAAATAAATACGATTTTTGAAGCTATTTTTAGGTTGATTTTTTCTTCATGACTGTACTATATAAATATTTGCAGATGCTTTGTTCAATTCCTAAATTGCTGATAATTGAAATAACCTAATTATAATAATTTTACATATAAATGTAACATGCTTACATATGTTATGAAATAATTTGGTATAATCGATTTGTTCACCTCAGGCCGGCATATTCTGAATACATTCCTTTATCTGTGTCCATGCTTGCAAATTCTACAAAAAAAAAACTTAATTTACAATTTTCCCTATACTAATATTACAAAGAAATAATATATGTATCTTTTTATATATGGAAATAACTCGAAACCTACTAATAAGAGATAATAATGTTAACACAATAACAAAGTGGTAAAAATAAAAAAATCCATAATACTGTATTACCTAGGAAGTGGGGTGGGCAGCTTTAGAATAGACTTATTTTAAGTTTTATATATCTATTTGATATTTTTCGACTCTCAAAGTATAAGAATGGGATAGCTAACCCTTTTTCACCGGCTGGCGCCGCACATCTGTATTAAAATTCTATATACAAATGTTATAAAGATAAAAGATTTGGATTTTTGAATGTATCAAAAAAACTCAAAATCTACTGGGGCAATTTCAAAAATTCTTTCACCGTTTAAAAGCTATGTTATCATTGAGTAACATAGGCCATGTTTGGGCGAAAATTGTACAATACTCACCTTTTTGGCAGCCTTCACTTGTAGCGTTATAAAACTAACGAGCGACTCGTGCAGGTCTCTGTCCTTTTGCTTCTGGAAGTATTCTATCTCCGCCGTCGCTTTCTTTGTGAACTCCCTACAGCACAGAAATACGCATTAAAAGTGCTCTTTAAATGGTTTTCCTGAAAACACTAACTAGACTAGATTATGGACATTACGAAAGAATGGTAAGGAAAAGAGAATTTAATGGACAGGCATAAACACAAACTATGAGCTGACTACATCAAGGAAGCAAGGTTGCGGTAACGGTAATTGTTATCCAATGTCAAAGGCTTTTGTTGTCATTTGTGCATTTGAATTTTGACATTTGCGATTGAGTTTTATGAAATGTAAACAATAAAATAGAGTTTTTATAATGTGCACGGGAGCAGGTAGTAATACAAAAGGTGTGTTACTGCAGCTGCGCGTGCGCGGCGTCGATGGCGCGGCGGTCGGCGAGCAGCTTGGCGTCGAGCGCGCGCGTGCTCTGGTCGCGCACGATGTCGGGCTCCGTGGTGCCGAACAGCCGCGACATCAGCCCCGCCTTGCCCGCCGCCGCGCGGCTGCGCTCCGCTACCCTACACACCTTTGGCTTATCTATACTATTATAATAAAGCGTAAACACACACTTCTTTGTTGCCTAAAATGTTAGCGATTACAGCAGGTTTTTGAATAATTCTTTTTTTTATGAAAACCCCTACACTTATGTCACGCTTTAGGCTATATATTTCCACGCTATTAAACTTAGGGGGTAAATATTTTGGATAAAAAGCCTAGTGTGGGAAAGAGACCATGAGTTGCTGCCAACATCAAGGAAGCAAGGTTGTCATTTTGACATTTGCAATTGATAATTTGACAAATGTAAACAATAAAATAATTTCATGAGGATGAAGCTGCTCGCGAATAGCTAGTCATACTAATATTATAAAAGCCAAAGTTTAGATGGTTCGATGTTTGTTACAGTTTGTAGCCTAAACGGCTGAACGTGTTACGATGAAATTTGCTATAAATATAGAGGATAGTCTGGAAGAACTCATAGAATACTCACTTTTGTTTTTTTTTGTAAATTCCACGCGGACAGAGTCGCGGGCGAAAGCTAGTCTATACTAATATAATTCATACACTACTTAGTTACGTAAGATGTCAGCAATAGTAATTTTTTTTACAGTTTTCATATTTTCATGCAAGATAAAGCCACTCGGGAACAACTTGTATAGAATATTTTTATTGTGTAACAATATATCTTACCTATTATTCAAAGTATCATGAGCGATTTCCAGATTCCGTTGCAAAGCCTCATGGTTTGTGCACAGATGTTGTAAAGCCCCCGCATAGAATAGATATTCTTTCAACTGATCTGCGAGTTGTTCTTCATCCTCTGCCACTGCATCTATGCTGTCCGCTATTGAATCTGAAACAATACATTTAAAAATATAGGTTTATGAATTGCTAAATATTGTAATACCTACACATATTTGTGAAGAAATTCAAAGGTGTACGTGAAATCAACCCACAGAATGCCAGGATGATTGGAAAACCATTTTATTGGTATCAGGGGGAAATCTTTGAAAGATACCATGCCTTATATGGGAAAAATTCGGGTTTATGTGGAGTTCAACTAAAATGCACTTGGTAGCCTTGAGTGCAAAAGAGGTTTCCGGAATCCCTGAATGCACCTGAACATGGTCGACTATGGCCTAGTCGTTCCTAACTTGGGGTAGACTCTGTCTCTTATTTGGGACATAGAGAGCTGAGAATAAGCATTAAAAGATAATACAAAAGGAATATGAAGTGTCTCAAAAGTCAAATTATGTCATTAATGCCTTAAAATTTATGATTGGCTATGGTTTAATTTGTTAGCCGCCAAAAAAAAAGCTATAGAGACAAAACTTATAGAAAAGAAGCTTTGTAATATTTTAAAATAATTAATTTGACAAGTTTTATTCGTATTTTAAAAATAATTTATAAAAGTGATTTATAATAAATCTCACCAAAATAATGTCCCGCCTTCTGCAAGCCATCACCCATTTCCTTCTCTATTACACTCCATTCACTAAATAGCTTTCCATAGTCGGCATGAAGTTTGCATAGTGCATAATTTTTTTCTATTATTTTAGACCTATAAAGATTACAAGTGAAATAGTACAAATAACATAAATGTGAAAGTTTAGATGTATGGATGTTCGTTTAAGTTTGTAGTCTAAACAGCTGAATGGATTACGGTGAAATTTGGTATATGTAGAGGATAGTTTAGAACACATAGCATACTCACTTTTGTTTCTTTTTAATTCTTGCGAACGGAATCGCGGGTGAAAGCTAGTAACTCAATATTTTTATAATAGAAGTAATTTGTTAGTTTCCCAAATCACACTTTTTTTTTGTAAATTTTGCTTTCAATGGCAGAATAAAGAAATAAAGTATGGAAAAAGTTTGTTGTTTAATACAGAATCTTGCTGGTCATATTACAATGCAAATCTACATTTGATTCTAAATTATTACATAGTAGACTTCTTACCTTGTATATAAAAAGTTTCCCAAGTTAGTTTCCAATTGTTTTCCATAGTTTTTGACACTTTCAATTTCCGGATCTGGTTTTTTCAACCTTATTGATACTGAAAGTGACTTAAGCTTGTTTTCTGCCAAAAGTAGATATCCTAAAAATAAAATAAGGTGTTATTTAAGAAGTCTAATAACTAAAAACTATTTAAAAATAGCTCAGTATTAGGAATCAAGGTTTGTCTTTCAATAAATTTAACATTTGCAACAACTTACAATTAAACAGTAAAAATTTAGAATACTATGGAATAAAATATAATTTAGCTAGCTTTCGCTCGCAACTCCGTTTGCGTGGAATTAAAAATAATGTTAGTAGCCTATGTGTTCTACCAGATTATCCTCTTCATCTGTGTCAAATTTCGTCAAGACCCATTCAGCAGTTTAGGCTACAAACTAACAAACCTCCATCCATCCATCTAAACTTTTGCATTTATAATATTAGTAACATACAAATACATACCACTGTCTGTTATTGTTTCCCTCCAGCCATGTTCTTGTTGCAGGAAATTAATGAATTGATCATCAAAACACAATCGAGGATGGGACGCCACTCGTAATAGGAAATTTTCCAATCCAGCCCGTCTTCTTTCTACAAACTCTGGGTCGGTTGTATCGGATTTTCTCCAAGCATATAATACCTGAAAATGAAATAAAATATGTAAGGATAAAAGACTAAAATTGTTAAATTTTAAATAATATAGTTCATGAGATATTTAATAATATTGTTGGATGCGGAAGGCATAGGCACATTCTTTGGGAGAAGGCCTATGTCCAGCAGTGGGCAGACAAAGACTGATGACAATGATGATGCTAAGATACTTAACAAGAAGTTAACTGTAGCTTAAAGGAAGCAATTTAGTTGTTGCAGAAAATTTTATTTATTAAAGTTTAACATAATATATGGATCTAAAACTTGTTAAAAGTGTAGTTAAAAATAAACCAAGAACAAATAAGATATAGTAATATTATAAATATCTATGTAAGTATTAATAGTTTTTTTATTTACCCGTTTTTCTGGCAGTGGTGGTATTACAACATAGGGATATGTAACTTGTAGAAAATCATGTATCTGTTCAAATTCTGTATATCGTCTCCAAATTGTGCTAATTTTTGATTGTACCAATTTATACTCTGGATCATTTACTCTGAAATATAAAATGTTAAGACATTAAAGCTTAAAGGGGGCGTACAGTTAACGTAAAAATTATTTATTAAATTATTTATGACCAGTTTCAAAAGAGTTCTTAGCTTATGTACAGTTAAGGAAAGAAAAGATAAACTGCGCAAATGTATACGTAAATTAAAGCTAATTGTATTACAATAAGGATGTAAATCGTTTGTTAAACAATGAACTTACTTTAGGTCAATTAAATACACTGTGTAATGATCACGAACGTGAAGCGTTCCGTTAGCACGTTTCTCCGATTCCACAATAGATATATCAACGTGTTTCAACAATGTATCCTAAAATTAAAGCAAGATAATAGTTATTATTTCAACAAAAGGTAAACGAGGGTAAATAAAAACATACCTGGTTCACAAAATCCTCAGCTATCTCTATTTCGTTGAACGATTTTGAAGGTTTAATCGGCGAATTATCCGCCGACATCATATTGAAACAAAGAACCTACCAATAAAATGGAAACTTGATAGAATTTAGATTTTCTTGTAAATTATTTATTCCAGATATTGTACGGAATATGACATTTGAATTTTGTGATGACATTTAGTGACGCATGTTTAGAGATGTGAATGTTTGTAAGTATTACCGGTTTTTAACAAAAGGTTCTACGAAGTGAATTGTGAAAACATAAAATGTAAATAAACGAGACAGTAAAAATTATTGTAGGAATTGTGTCTTTATTGTTTATAATATTTATAAATATCTTACACGAAATTAAAAAATGGCACGAAAGGTTCGAAGCGATAGATGTACGCTTTGTGGGTGACTCTTAAGTTTTCAGTGGATTCCAACAGATGGCCCAATAATAATTTTTCTTTCAAGTTAAACATTCATCAATTTATCTTAAGAAATTAAAATGTATTTATTCTGAAAACCGGCAATGTGGTCTGTTGATTAGATGAATTAAATTGGAATAGTCGAAAATTAAATAAAAAATTATGTTACTCGTCTAACTTTCGTCGGATAAATTAAATAAGAACTGTTCAGTATGAGTTCAACAGATTAGCTCTCGCTCATTTAAGAGAGAGTAGAGTAGTTTAAAAGTTTGTAGAGATTTTCAAAACAGATGCCGAGGTGTATTTTATAGATAGAATTATCTTTGCATTATTAATAAAGAGAGTAAAGTTTGTTTTTTTCTCAGACATTAATTTTGCAAATCGGTGAAAGTCTCAAGAATCTTAGGATAATTTTGCTATCGTAACAAAGTAAATAACACCTGTTGCTTTCTTGAAGGAATTAAATTACTCCGTTTGTTTGATTTATGAATCAATCTCGAAAATCTCATTATATTTTCGAGAACCAGGTGTGCTCAATGTTGTTTAAATTACATTGATATTTAAAATAAACAAATATTAAGATTGATGTATTTTATAGATAAGAATTTGTAATAATAAAATAAGATAAGAACAGTTCAAATACTAGTGTTGTTCCTATGACAAAAGTATATAAAAAAACTAACACATGAAGAGATGAAGAAGTGATATCCGGCCAGACTACCCACTAAACCCTGCGGTG